ATGCATCAGTTCCACTCAGGCAGCTCGGTGGAGTATCACAAAGGACAGCAGCAGCTCCAGTAAGAGCGACACACAGCCACAGCTGAAATCTCCTAGCTCTTTGGCTTCACCTACTCAAGCCACTGTTATTCCTGATAGAAAATCTTTGGGTAAAGAGACTTTCTGTGATCAGCCACAGGCTAAAGAAACTGGATGTGGTGTTGAAACGGACCCCAGCTATAGCCAAGTCCCTGAGTTTGTTCCTGTAAAGGTTAAAAGCAGAGGTAATTGTAAAACTGGTGAGAAAACAACTGTTAAAAAAGCAAGCACAGGAAAAAAGAAAACAAATGCAATTAAAAACAGTGCAGAAAGTAGTCCTGATCTACCTCAAGGTGAAGAGAGTGCTCAAAATGCAAAGAAGCTTCTTCAGCCAAAAGTTGCAACATGTTGTAGTGAGTCTGAAGTTTCTGAGATGAGGCAGAAGGCTTGTGTGGGGGCTTTTGACAGGAAGAGCAGAGGCTGTGGTGTGGAGCAACATTCCCGCTCTCCTGATGAAGTCCAAGATCTCAGAAGAACGTATGTGGTGACTCCAGCACAGCTGCACAGTCTTGCAAGCGGTGACTTACTGCAACAGGTGAAGAAGGAAGTTGTATTTGAGATCCAAAGTATGGAGAGCTTGTCAAAAAGCCCAGTTCGTACCTTCTCAAGTCATGAAGTTCCCTCAGATGATTCCAGTCTACAAAATTCACTTTTCTTGAGGAAAGAGAACTCAAGTGCCTCTACTTTGCAAAAGGACTCAAGTGTGAGCACAAAGAGCATCAGACAGAAAACCAACAGAAAAACTAGAGTAATTAGGCAAAGAGATGACTCTGATGAGGAGAATCTGCCAAACAGTGTGAAAATACCAGAGGCCAAAGCTAAAGAACAGCCTAAAAGAAGCCAGACAAGCAGGAAGAAGACTGTCAAGAAAAGCAGTTGTTGTGATCAGAGAAATGAGGTTGATGTTTTTGGGCCATGTATAGATGTTCAAGGAGTAGCTAAGGAGAGCACAAAGGATTCACTAGGTCATCTTAAATGTAGCAGGAAAACTTATGTTGTCCGTCCTTTGGATCTTGCAGGAAACTTGGGTTGTGTCCAGACAGATTTTGAAGGGGGTGAAATTGTACCTCCCAGGTCTATTCCTGGAAGCAAAGCTAGCAAAATCCCCAGAGTTAAGAGGATGGTAGCTGCTCAGAGCAATAAAAGACAGACAGGGGGCCTTCAGGAAAAGGGGCAAGCTAAAGTTGACAACAACGTGAATGCCTCAGAAAAAGAGGCCTATCCCAAACCAAAGCCTCAGAGGAAGAGGAACACCTCCAGACGTTCAGAGACTGATTCCGTGGCCAGACAAAGTGATGGTGCCAAGGTGCTCATTGGAAGTTCAGCAGAAATTGCATCCAAGCAAACTGTCCTGATGGGGAAGTTTTCCTGCATTACAGATCTGCTGTCTGAGCCTGATGCCTTACTGGAGGAGCAGATAGCTGAGATACCGCTTACAAATAATCTTATGGATGTTTCACACAGTCTTGAATCCTCCTCTGTGACCTGTTCTGCAGCTTCGCCTGTCAGCTCCAGGTTTACAGATGTACCAGTTTCCAAGAGCTTAAGTACTGAGGGCAACAGAATGCCAGAGAAATCCTCTGTTTGGCCAGAAAGCTCCATGATATTTAAAGAAAAGACTGCAGAGGTAATACCTGGGGAAAGAAACCAGGTTGAGTCAAGTTCTCAGAGCTCATCTTCACAGGAACCTGGTAAGTGGTAGGCTGGGGAGGGGACCTGCGTCTGGAGATGTGTGCTAAAAATCCATGCAGCAGGTGCTTCTATCTTTCCTCCCCTCCTCTCTTTTTTCAGAGTTAAAGATCAGTGTCCAGTACACCATTTATGCTTCCACTTGTGCTGGCCAGTCACTTCTGTGGCTGCATTTGCTTCTATTTTATCAGCATTCCTATAAGAATTTCTGGTCACTTGTTCATGTGTGGATATTGGGAAAAGACTAGGAGCATGTGCTGCGAGTCCTATTTTAGCACTCGTTATCTACAGGGCATGCCTGTCAGTTTAGAAAATCAATTACTCAAGCAGTTGAAATGTATAATTTGATGCTGACCCTGCCTACTAGGGTCAGCGTTATTGGGGCACAATATGAAGAAGATATCAGGTTTTTGGTCCAGAATGGCTAGTGCTCCGAGGATTCAGACTTTATACCTCTAGGTGGTATCTTCAATGGAAATTCATCAGGTGCTACCTAAATTCTCTTGGTTGTGGGTTTTTTTGGTTTGTTTTTAAAAGGATTTGGAGGGTGTATCCCTTGGCTGGTAATACAAGAGTTAAGCTGAGCATTTTTGGGAGCTTGCTGTTATTGGATGCTCTGTAAAGGGAGTTGTTTTGTGGGGGTTCTTCTTTCCTGTAGCTGTTGACAAACAGGCCTGTTATAGCTAGAGTGGGCTGTACTTTGTAGAGAGGGAGGAAGTTTGTTCTCCTGCCCTCCCCCTCCCGGCTGACTTCACTTTGAAAGCTGCAGTAAACACTGGCAGGGTCCTGTGTCTTCCTGGAAGTCTTGTAGGTTGTTTGGGTGCCATAAGCTTGCTTTCTCCTCCAGGCTGTAAGCTCCTGGGCATTAGAACTATCAACTATCATTTTTGTATCATTTTTCTACTACACCAGGGCCCAATGATACTAACTGTATTAGTGACCTGTATTTTTCCAGTGGGGAACCTACTTGATTCATGAACTGACTTTTGAGGAGCAGGTCTGGGATTTTTGGACAAAAATGGTCTCCTGAGTTTAGAGGGAACATGATTGGATTCAGCGTTGTGCAGTGTTCAGACAAACCTGGTAACACAGCCCTTCTCTGTTTGGCAGCTGTATTTCTTAGGATATCTGGAAATGATCTGGAAACACTTTGATCAACTCCATGTGTGAATGTTTCCCTTTGCAGAGATCAGGCCACTACAGGACTTGACCAATGCCAGGACTCTGTCTTCCTCCAGCTCGGAAGAAGTGTCGGGGCGCTCATTCAGGCAGAGACGGGAGCCAGCCTGCTATGCAGAGCCAAAACTCAACAGGTTGGGCTTTAAACTATTCCTTCCTGTGACTGTTTCCATGCTGCAACCCCTGCTCTGCTCTCATGTGCTCACTCTCCAGGGCTGGACCCTCTGTCAGTTTGTTTAAGTTCCTTTTTACGCTTCATGTTTCTGTGACCCTCCTCTTCTACCACAGTGTGGTTTCGGAAGAAGTGTCGGGGCGCTCATTCAGGCAGAGACGGGAGCCAGCCTGCTATGCAGAGCCAAAACTCAACAGGTTGGGCTTTAAACTATTCCTTCCTGTGACTGTTTCCATGCTGCAACCCCTGCTCTGCTCTCATGGGGCTAACCCCCAAGGCCGGACCCCCCGGTCAGTTTGTTTAAGTCCTTTTTACGCTTCATGTTTCTGTGACCCTCCTCTTCTACCACAGTGTGGTTAAGACAAAATTCTGCATTACACAGATGCACGTGCAGGCTTCTGGTAACAAGCTACCAAAGATGTTATTTCCCTCACTGAAACGAGCACATCTCTTAGCAGACTGCATCTCTAGTACTCCAGTGCTAATGAGGGATCAGCGTGAGGATAAAATACAGGCTAAATAAAGACAGCTAAGCGAAAGCCCTGATTTCACTTGCTGCCATTCTGCGATATCTAAAGTTTTACACAACACCTGAGTAATACTTCCATTTTAATCAGGTTTCGGTGAAAGAAATGCTAGGTTTTGAGGAGGGTTCTCCCCTGTGAGCAGGCTGTATCTATATTTGCAGATACGAGTACCTAAACAAGTAGCTGCATCTTTTCCCTAAGAAACTGTAGATTCAGTACATCCAATGGCTACTGTACAGAACCATTTAACTCCTAAAATGATGACTTAGTATTACCCAGTAGCACAACAATGTTTTTTTTTCCCTGAAAAGTGTCACAGTTTGAACTTTCTGTGAGGAGTTGGTTATACTGGGTCAGAAGGTACTCTGTACTGGTACAGCTGTTCCTGTACTGGACAAGGAACAAACTGTACCACTCAGTCATCTTATAGTGGAAGCATTTCAGTAAAATCAGAAACTTTTTAGAGACAAATCATACACATATTCAAGAAATACCTTGATGGTTCAATCTAACCCTTTTGGTTCCGCAGGAAACTGAGGCAGGGCGACCCATTTACAAACATGGAGTTCCTCCACTCCCTTCCCTACAAAACCAAAAAGAAGAAAACTGCCAAAGCCGAGGGAACGACCAAGAAGATCAAAGAGGAAAAAGAATGGCTTCCTGAAGAATGTCCCAGTGCCAAGGCAGGCAAGCTAATAACAATGGGAAGAGACATGGAGCCAGAAGTAAAACAGTGGTTGAACAGGCAGCCTCCAGGCTCCTAGGGGCTTGTGCGTCTGCCAGAATATCTCTAATGTTTTGCATAGCTTATTTTTTATTTTAATTTTAAAGTATAAATAAAGTATTCTATGTGGACAGTATAAAAGCTTTGTGACATTTATTCCGTGTCCTCCCCTCCTCCACCTTTAAATGCTGGGGTGCTTGTCTGCAAAGTCTTTGTGCACAAGTGCTTTGGCACCACAGCCAGCTAGCTGGCTCTGCCAGTTCTTTCTTGGCCCTACACAAGCGTGGGGAGAGTACACCTTGGAGGGCTTATCCTCTGGCATTGCAGATACCCACAACAGCTGCTGAAAGGGTATGAAAGGATTGCAGCAGCCCAGGCTTTGACAGCAAGCAGAAGAGGCATGCTGACATACTGCCTAGTGTTACCTCCTGTAAAAGGTGGCTTCTGTGCGGGTAGAGCAGTCCACTGGGAAGTAACATTTAGGATTGACTACTGAAGCCTTGGACAGCCCTAGAAGTTGGAGCTCTTTGCTGTTCCGGAGGGGAGCTATGTCACGTAACTGATATATCCCCTCTCACTGTATTTGCTGTCAGTGGGGATTTGCCTAACTATGGAGTTGAAAACTGAGCCTTCCGCCAGTCCTGAGCATGCAATACCTAGGACACAGATGCACACGTCTAACTACATCAGTGTCAGCGCTAAAGGTAAGCTAGGCTATACTTTGATCGAAGACAACTTTTGCTGGGGTCTGCTGATGGGAGTGTTGGTGCAAAGGGCTATTACTGGTGGTGGGAGCTACAAGGGCCCTGCCCAAGAGCTCTGTGAAACAGCTGGTACACTGTGAAGCAGGCAACCGTGTTTCAGGAAGTCCTGTGCTCTTTTCCACTACAGACTGAGTGCCCACTGGCCTCTAGCACTTGCTTTTTTGGGTCTACTGGTGTCTAACTTTGAAGGTTATTGATATTAAATGTTTGAGGGAGTGGTGGGGAAAAGAAGTGATCGTATTAGTAGTAAAGGGAAGGGAATGTGCCTCCTTGGAAGCAGGAAAAATGTTTCCTCTTTCTCTATGGCAGAGCAGGGACCGGGATGCTCTGTTCTTATGACCACACTTACTGCTTCTCCCAACACAGAGATAAGTGTTCCTTTCTCTCCTCAGCACTTCAGCAACATCCATCAGTTTATGAGGATAGATTGGGTCTTGCTGTACTCTGCAGAGTCCTCCAGAAGATGGAAACTTTGTTAGCACAGAGTGAAAAGTGTCATCTGCATTCAGGTAAATGCTACTACATTGCTTACACTTAAGCTATACTGTTAAGTCATTAAAGCAAACAAAAAGTGTAAGATTTAAAAATGCTCCTTTATTTATTTGTTCAGTTTCCTGAAAGGTACTAAGCTTTCTCTGGTACTCTGTAACTCCAGAAGCCAGGTAGGAGCTAGTAAATAACAGGGAATTTGTTAGAGGTGCTGTTGTACTATGACCTGCCTGGCTGTGGCACAGTAATTTGAACTAGTGATGTCAGAAGCCAGGCAGGAACATAGATCTCCAGATGTTCCTGATGATTGTTTTTGTTGCTTCTATGGGCCAGCAATGGGACTCTTTCCAGCTGCACTTCTTATGTGCTTGTGTTAATTACAGAATAGCAGACTACTGTGTTCATTCATATTGCAGACACAGTGACAGCTGCTAGCAGTTGTAGAGCTGCGTTTCAAACACATGCTCATCCCAAAACAAATGTTAATACTAGCTGATCTAGTCTAACCTTTCTATCCCAACAACACTTATAGCTAGTCAGCTGCAGGGTGAGAGTTTGGCTCATGTATAACCAGTTTGTGATCTTTGAGAGGTGATACATCAGTTTGAGCTTATATTAGTCTGAAAATAAGATTTCAATGGAAGTGGTACCTTTAAATTCTTGTGCACTACCTGCTGCTTACCACCATGCTACAGATCACATCTTGCCATGGGCCAGAACAAATTAAGACTCTACTCTAAGAAGGAAGAGATTATTTTGTGTTTATATCACATTACAACAGTCTGTCCCAGCATGTACTGGACTGTGCTGAAAGATACTGGAGTCTCTCTGAGGTAGAATTTCCCCATATCTGCTAATGATACAAAGGAACGAGAGACACAAAGAATGTTAGCTGGCTTTTTATTTGTCTGAACTAAAATATTCTTTAAAAAAACCCCAAACACAAAACTATGGATGGAATAGTTTTTCATAGTCATAATCTGACTCACTGTATCACAACAGGAAGGATAAGTAATAGCCCAGACAACTGGAGAAAAGTTTTGCACCTTTATGAATTGCGGTGTGGGGGAAGAGGTAACAGTTCCTATGCTTCACATCCAGTCAGAAGGAGTATAATTAAATGCATGGCTTGCATTTAGACACTGCAGCATGGCTTCATTAGGCTTTTAGCCTATAGGGCTTGTTTCCAGCATTTACTAAGTGCTTCTTCTCAAATGCTACAGTCCTGACTGTAGCAGTGTGACCAAACCCCTTAGTATTAGGATACTATGTTCTGGCTGGCACTAAAAGATAAAATTAAGTAAGAGAGGGGCTGCAGTAGAGCTGGCATAGCCCTGTGAGCTCACTTATACTCAGTGGACAGTACTGGAGAGATGAGGACGGTTCTGATTTCTACAGTCTGTTGGACAGTAAGTCACCACTGGTTTGACCAGAGCTGTGACACAGACTGGCTTTCAGTCTGAGAGGAAGAGAAGAGAAACACAGATCCTAAAGTCATGGAGAGAAACCTCTGGTCTGCTGTGAATGACATTAGGAATCCAGACCCACATTGAGCTTAAATACTATCACATTCAGCTGCTTAGCAAAAGTAAGGCCTAGCCCAGCAGCTCAAGGGGTTTAAGAAAACATGGTCTTTTAAACATTTAAAAAAGTGTACATGTTCATTTTTGTCTAGTATTTGAAGTGTTACACAGAGTGTGATACAGTGCCACTTACGCTCTGGTGTAAGTGGGAGATGTTTTGTTAGTGGAGCTTGAGTAGAACCCGTGCCTTAAAGTTTGGGCAGAGAGGCCAGCTTCCCCTTCAAGTTTTCAGCAAGCTTGTCCATGAACTCAAAGGTGTTCAGGTAGTCAGAGCGTGTGACGCTGAAGGGGGGAAACAAAACAAGACAGACATTAGTTGTAAAGCCACTCAAATGCTCAAAGCAGGGGAAGACTGTTCCAAGAACTGTAAGTCTTGCCTCTAAAACCAAGAGCGTTATCTCCTACTCATCAGGCTGATGTTTTTTCCTCAAAAGGCTCCAGAGAAGAGGTAGCCAGGTGGTATTTTGCAGTGAACTAGGTCTCCATCCTAATAAATGGGCAGGGCAGGATCTGGCCAATGTAGCCAGCCTGTCATAACAGAAGTCTTTGCAGTTCCTTCTTTACTTTTTTCCTCATGCATTTGGTACAATAGCAGGGACAGAGCAACCTAGGCTAAGCTACTTGGGGCAGGGAGCGTCTCATGTTCTACTTGTACAGCACTGGGTACAGATGAGCCCTGTTCTGTGACCAGATTCCAGCAATACTTCACTATACTAAACTAACTTTGCAGCAAATGCTGTTCAGAAACGCCAAGTAAAACTGCCTCCTCCAAGCACGGCTGATTACTTCGTATACTTACTTAGGTAGGCCTTTGATACAGGCAGCAAGATCCTTTGTCATGAAGCCAGATTCAATGGTCTCGATGCAGACTTCTTCCAGGGCAACTGCAAAGTTCTTGAGGCTAGTGTTGTTGTCCAGCTTAGCTCTGTGAGCTAGTCCTCTTGTCCATGCAAAGATGGAGGCTGAGAGAGAACACTAGATTACTCTCTCCTTCTAGAACTCCCTGGACATTGTTCTAAACTCATGTGGAACAGTAATTATTTTAGTATTAATAAAACTGAAAACAAAGACAAAATCTGGTATAGGAAAGAGAATGCTTATCTTCATCTAGGCATCCTTTGCATTTTGTGCAGCTCTAAAGAAAAGCAAACCCCAGAAACTACTCACTGCCTCCAGCATTTGTGTGTGCCATTTCATCTTATTTTGTTCCTGCCCAAGTCAGAAAGAATGATCAGTGGTAGGACTCTGTGGTTACACAGAAAGTTGTCCTTATGATAGAAGAGCACGGTTGTCTTCCTGGCATTACATTACACTCTGGTCCGTGTGCAATTGTAGAGGATTCTTTCCCTCATGCCCCATTCTAGGTGCACTTACACTTTAAGTATGTACATGGTTTGGAGGGCAGCTGGTCTTTCGGAGCATCAGGAAGGGGAGTCAAATAAAAAACAACCAACCTAAACTTTAAGACTGTTGTGGCTATAAACCTGTTTGCTGAAGAGTGAGAGCATGTCTCAAAGGCTAGGTTAGGTCTAGCTTATTGCTCACACTCACTCCATTCCAGCCTGGCTTTGCTCCAGGCTGCAGTTGTCTCCATGGAAGAAAAATGCATTATGAACTACCAGTTTCACCGCTCAGTGGTGCAATTCTCTGCAGAAAGGATGCAGATGTTCTTACTCCAAACCTGTTCTTTCATGAGTAGAGATCACTGAATGGCAGTGAAAAGCAGCTCACCAATGGGGTTAGTGGAGGTTTCTTGGCCTTTCTGGTGCATGCGGTAGTGACGAGTAACTGTGCCATGAGCAGCTTCTGCTTCAACAGTCTTGCCGTCAGGGCAGATGAGCACACTGGTCATCATCCCCAGAGAGCCATAGCCTACAGAATACACAGTTTAAAAAGTTCAGTGTCTCCTTTGGACAGTCCCCTTAAATTCCCCTTAATCCCCCCATCCTACAATACCCCTACATCCTCCCAGCCTTGACGTGAGTATTCCTGAACAACAGTGCTGCTGCAACTAATTGGCTAGCCTTGACACGTCAAAATAACAGCTTGTTTA